ACTACTTGTCGTGTACACAGACACGAAAAATATAAAAAGTAAAAATGACAATAAAAAAAATACACAATTGTCTTCATCGTAGTAAAATCAATACATTCATCTCGCGCTCAGAATTTAAAATGAAATTTATGATGTGTAATTATTTATTATCTCAATTTTTGAATTTTTCTAGAATTTTTAATTTTTTTAACTTTAGTGGTTACCTGCTATAAACAAAGGTGGACATGGTTATGCAAAAATACTAGGTTAAGTTATAACTACTTATAAGTGAATCAGTATTGGTCAAACGAGGGTGATTAATTGAATACTACAATAATAATAATAATAATAATAATAATATTATTATTATTAAAGGAATATTACCCCCATGACCTTTTTCCAACATTAAATTAATAAATATGTAATATAATATTATTTATGTCGGAGACCATAAATTATATTGTAATAATCAGATTGTAGGTACAAGTTAAAAAATAAGCCTCATAATTATTATAGCGGATACATTAGAAAATCAACAAAATTCATTGACTTTTAATGTTTAAAAGTTTAAAAAGAGATTTAAATAATTGAAAATAAGTTTTTTTTTTAATCGAATTTATTTTTGATAAACTACTGCACAATTTATAACAAAGAACGAAACTGTGCAGTTAATACAACTAGTATACATAATATAGTAACTTACAGCTTTCAAATAGTTATGTCACAAATATTATTGTCTCTACCGTTACTACAATATCCTTGATGTACTCGATGAGGGTTTCAAACGAATCATACAACTATCTGGATTCCCGTGCTGGTTAGCACCATGTCTTCTCAAGACACGTTTTTGAAAAATCAAGATTTCTCGCTGGAACGATTCTATCCCCCCGTAGTGCATCAGATTTTCACTTTGGGTATCACCCACGTCTTTTGGTCTGTGATTAATCAGCTTGCCACTTTGGTTTTCATTCACAAGTGTTTGTCGGCGTCTTGTCAGACTGCCACTTTGGGTATCACTCATGTCGGTCGGCCGTTGATTCATCAGCTTTCCCCTTTGGTTGCCATTTACATGTGTTTGCTGGTGTCTTGTCTGACTTCCATTTTGGGTATCACCAGCTTCCGTTGGTCGATGATTAATCAGACTGCCACTTTGGGTGCCACCCACGTCTATTGGCCGTCGATTCATCAGCTTGCCACTTTGGTTGTCATTCACATGTGTTTGTTGGTGTTTTTTCAGATTTGCAATAAGTTTAAAGGACTGTTTGCATATTTGACACGAGAAAAGTCTCTCATCCGTGTGCCTCCGTCGGTGTTTCAACAGGTTTCCGCTACCAATGAATGATCTTTTGCAAACTTCACACTGATAGGGTCTCTCGCCCGTATGGGTCCTTCTATGAATTTTCAGACTTACACTTTGTTTAAATGACTTTTTGCATAATTCACACGAGTAAGGTCTCTCATCCGAGTGAGACTGTTGGTGTCTTTTCAGACTTATATTTTGTTTAAATGACTTTTTGCATAATTCACACGAGTAAGGTCTCTCATCCGAGTGGCACCGTTGGTGTCTTTTCAGATAATTAATTTGTTTAAATGACTTTTTGCATACTTCGCATGAGTAAGGTGTCATATCCTTGTGTGAACGTCGGTGACTTGATAGACCAGCGTTATTGACGAAGACTCTGTCGCGTATATTGCAATGTTTCGGTTCTTTATTCATTTTATTGTTCAGTATATCAGTTGACATTAAATACCTAATTAATTGTGAATTGAAATATAATATAATGAATGTTATTTCATGACTAACCAAAAAGCATTTGTTATTTTCATAAAACAATGTAGTAACTAATGGATTGGAAATTATTTGTCAGTATCAAGCCAGTATATTTTTGTAGTTTCAAATTAAAATAATAAAATAGTATATTTATTGCTTCAATTCCAATTGAATGTAAGATATAAAATTCTTAGACCTTCAATGCTTGAAGATTGTTTTTTTTGTAAAAAATTAATCTGGTTGGTAATTCGGTAATCAAATGTAAAAAGTTCTTAGACAATTTCTTATTTATTAGGAAAATATAAAGTAAAATTAAGAAAAAAATACATTTACCGAGTCAAGGTGAAAATGTAAATTTGCTTAATTTGAATTTTTGGAAAATCATTATAATTATAATACTATATATTGTGTATACATTTTATTACTATAGGATCAAACAAAATTGCACGTTAAAAATGAAAAATTGACTGTAGGAAGAAGCATTTTTTTCTATGTACGTGTATAAAAATGTTAGTGGTTTGTTTGTAAAACATTTATTCTTTTATTATTTTTAATACCTTCTTTATGAGGTATTATCACAACTAGTGGTTCTACCCTTATGGAACTCATCACGTTATTTTTTAGCCCTCCAATATTTGAATCAAATTTTTGCCTGTGAAATGTTTATAGTGAACCAACTATTAAAGATAAAGGTCTGAAACTTTTCACTGTACCAACCGATGTGATTAAAACAAGACCAAAAGCAACAACATTTGATTTCCAACTTCAAAAACTTGCGTTCCTAAGAGAAAAATCTAGATAAAATTTACTTTTTGTTACGATTAAAAATTTAATAAATTCACTTTTAGTTTATAAATTTCACATTTTATTTCTAATTGACAGACCCTACTTAATGAGCTATCAACCGAATTTCTAGCTCTCATTATAGTTTACAGTAAATTAAAAAGAATAATTTTCAGGGCTGAAGCACCCGATCTATTTTTCTGAACACAAATCATTACACCGATTGAGCATGATATTGGAGTTATCTCATTAATATCTCACATTAAAGCTAACTTAAATATCCACCTACTAATTATTATTAAAATATATTCCTATTGTGTTTTATTATTGGCCATAAACTTTTAAAGTTTTCAAAGTTCAGATTTTTTAAATTCCAATACATATTTTCCTACCATATTTAATATTGATTAAAAATCTAAAAAGGAAAATTATTTTAAGCCTTTATTTCAAACTGTTGTGGACTGAGTTTTATCAATATTGTTTTTATTAGCCGAGAGATATCTTGAAGAAATGTTTACATTTTTAAATCCATCAAAACATTATAATTATTCTAGAAGTAGACAATGGACGTAAATGCATACCGACGGTATGCAGAGTTTTCACATGAATATAATAATATAATATTTTTTTATTGGTTTGTCTTAGAATGTAATATTTTTAAAGTAAAACAAAGTACAAATTACCACTTATTATAATTTTAAGCTGACAGAACTATGGGTCCTTACATCTGTCCATTCTTAATCCAGTAATCTGTGCATATTCACAGATATTAATTTACATAATACGGATGACACATAAAACACTGTTTAAAACGTAAGTATATAAAGTCTTCCGAATGCTGTGTGAAAAAAATGGTGTGTTCTTACGTAGTGGTTCCTACGCGATCTTCACCATTTTTGTCACTCACGTTTGTAAGATTCTGTATATATGTTATTATAATATAATATTTTTAATTTTTATGCGTTGTTTCTTGACTATGGTTTTTTACACAGGTATTTATTTTAATATTTCTCTTAGTTTCGTATTATATTTTACATAATAACTTATTTATAACATTGAGATAAATATAATTTTGAATGAATACATATTATTCATAATATATATATTGTGACATTTAAAGTTGTTCACACTTTTCCAATTGATGGCAAAAGCAATTTCATTATCTAGCTAACAAGCTAATCATTAACTCACAGTTGTACAGAAATTTAACATAGTTGTATACAAATTAAAAAATAATTGTTACCTAAATCTATATTATGACACACATCCGTGACCGAACTTTCTCGAATTAATATACACATAATAATTATATACAGATTTATACACAATTTATTGGTTTGAACATTATAAATACGGTTTAAAATGCATACACACTGTAGAAAAATTACTTTTCGATATCGTCAGGGTAACATAGTTCTTGAAACTTATTAGCATATTCTGTTATTTCAGAACACTTAAAGAAATTAGTCTGTTGAGTACTTACCGTAAATTGATGTTGACCATCGTAGAAGTCGTAAGACTGGCGTCGTGTCTTGCTGGTCGATCATTAAACATGTCATAATATAAAAACAATAAACTGTTTCCTAGAAAAAACATTACTGTTTCGCTAAAAAATAAAAATAATCAAAAAGTCAAACCAAAAATACCGTTTAAAATAAGAGGTTTCTCTTGATAACTTTAAATAAAAGTTAAAGCATCGCGGTCGTTTTTTACCCGTGTGAACTATTAGCTCAAAGTTGGCCACTCCTAAGCCATTTGTATCTTTTAAGGAGTTGCGTGTAGCAAATAATTAAAAAGTCCTAGGAATTCAAATATTTCTGACGTTGCATTAATTTCGATCTAAAGCTCCTGTGCACTGAGCCAATATGATTTATTTTGAACCTAGCAATTAAGGGTAAATATTTAAAACAATTATTTAAACAAATCAAAATACCTTTTAATCATATAAAATAGTGGTTGCAGTTACTAATTGCTATGTATTTAAATGAGTCAGTCCAATTTTACAATTTTGTGTGATTTTGAAACTATAAGCTATATGTATCAAAAACTTACTCTTTGCAATAGTTGTTATTTTCAAATTTTCAAATTTTCAAATTAACTTTCTTATTTGTATTTATATTTTTATTGTAAAATGTCTTATAGGTACAGACTTTATGGTCGTATTGACTAAAATATTTACACACTACACCGTGAACTAGGACTACCGACTTTACTATTAATCACTATTAATTGACATAATCTATTATAATATTATGTAGATAATGAAGTGCAACTACTATTATACTGTAAAACGTATGTTTGCATTTTGAAAAATGTTCAGGTGTATATAGCAGGTACCTATTTTTGTTTGTATTTTTCCTCTCGATGGTCTTGTTACGTATTTAAGTCTATCCGAAAGAATTAAAGGCATGGTCGGTATGAGAGGAGTCCGGTGTGTATATACACATATATATATATATATATATATACATCTATTAATACATCACAGTCGTAGCGAATCATCCTAATCCCCGGTGGACGGCACGCGATTCGCAGTGAGGTGGCGAAGTATATACAACGTATAGGTATACTATACGTACATGTTGTACACTTGTACATAACGTGTATGTATATAGTATATACCTACATACATCGTATGCCCACCAGACATTGCTAACGCAAATGGAATTGTTGGAAAACTGATCTGCAGAGCGGTGTAATTATATACGTAATATACCAGGCACAGGTCCAGAGTGATGATCTGAGGCGAATTCGACACTTGAATCACCACTCGGACGTTTTCATTTGTACAGATTTAAATATTTTATAAAACTATAACGTTCCATTAAACGTTGTCTTTTTATGCATTTTATCTATTATAATATTAATGATTTCCAGTGTACAAGGGAAACAATAAACCACATTGCAGAATCATCTGAACTTTGTTTCATCGTGTTCAAAATATAAAAAAATATATTTAAGTTAGTCAATGTTATTGCCTCTTCGCAAACAAAGCCTTGTTTTTATCCCTCCGCACATACTTCATACATAAATAGGAAATTAATAACTTTATTATTATATATATAGATCTATAATTTGTACAACTACTTGAACTATTGTTGATAAAGAACATCCTTCACAATAAAATAAATATACACGCTAAAACAAGGGATTATTTCAAATGACTCGTTCGTTAATTTTCATGATCAAATTTTAAGTGTGTATTCTTGACTTTTTGTTATATGTAAGTACTAAATACCTACCAACTTTGAAAATAATACTTATAAAATAAGCATTTTACTATGTATATACGCCCAGTCTAGGTACGATCATACTTATTTCAAATTAAAATTATAAGTCAATGCCTAGTTAGTTAAATAAAAAAAAAAATCACTTAATATTTCTTCTTTTTTCATAATCATGACATGAGCGTAAATAGATTTTAACATTTAAAAAAAAATTATATTCAACGTAATATTTCTCAACTGTCTCGATTTATCTTGTGTTTGTGGATAGGTTACCCTGCAGGCAACGGTTAACTGAATCTCACAAGAATATAAAATAAATTACTTATAATATTACGATTAATCATACCGTATGCATGGATTGTACTATAATATTTAAAATAAAAACAACTATCAGCTTTGTGCTGTTTATAATATAATATTATGTTCTTCAACCAGGTAGGTGCACAAGATAATAATATGTTTTTTTTTCGTTATTAATAAATACTATGTAAATTACTAACGACGCTACTGTAATTTTTCTTGAAACTTTTCATCGTTCTTCGAGAATGATAACACCGGCAGTTCTTCGTGGGCGACTTTACTGATGGCGGTGAGACTGGACGGACGTCGAGGTAGACACTGTGCTAATAGAATATACAATATGTCAACAATAATATAAATATTCCCGCGGGTTTCAGAAGCACAGAATTTTATTTCAGTTGATACGTTGACAAATATTTATGCAAAATAATAACATTACTTATAATATGTTACCGACCGACCGACCGACCACATTATCTCGACTCGCGTTGTTATTGTGTAGGTACACACGGGATATAGAAACTTGCATAATAATATGCTGATAATGATGTATAAATAAATGCATATAATCGACTTATCGTGAATATATTTGGTACCGGCAGGAGAGAAACGTTAGTAATATATCGCAGTATTTTT